AACTTATTAGAAAATAAAATGAAATATAAAGAGTTTACGTATTTATTGGATTTTTACGAATGGACAATATTGTTGAAGACAAAGATGTTCGAGCAAAGAATACGAGAAAATATACATACACGACCAAGACACATCCAACCACATCGGAGACATCCCATGCATGCTCATGCTCGTTATTATATAGTTTACCACATGGTCAAGACATCATGGGAAGGATAGAAGACGTCATTGCCTTAAATGGAAGCTCTTATATCACAAATTTAGGTATATGCATCAAATATGGAAAGAAGAGTAATGAAGGATCAGATTCATCCCCTCATAATCACGTCCACGCCAAGAAGGAAAGAAGCATCAATTATTTTATTAAGAAGATCAAGAAAATCAAAGAATATCCTCCTTGATTATATCACTCCAATCATGCACCTACAAGCTCTTCTTACCATTTGTTGTTATAGCCGTTAAGTGTATCTCTAGTTTTAGATTCTTCTCCATTATTCTAGCCATATAATTGTTGTATCTAGTAATTTAAATAGCTAGTACGCCTTTCTAATGAGAAATACACGAATTAGGGACTAAGTCCCATTTTGGTTCATCATTCTTGGCCATTGTTCTTTATCTTTCTTTACTTGTTCTTTCTCTTTGGTTTTGCCTACGTTTTCTTTACTTTCTCACATCCAAAACACACAAAATATCTCAGAAATCGTCAAATATCATATACTTCATGAGCAAAGATGCTTATTATACACAGAAAAAAAAACATTCATATTATTGGTCCAACGAAAAGATAGCAGATAATAATGGAAACCTAATACTATTTATATAATTATATTTTATAGCCATATAAAAATACCCAAAGAAAATCTCATATATATATATATAGTACATATACCCAAAGAAAATCTCATATATATATAAAAATACCCATCAGTGGGTGACCGAGTGGCGAAAGGATGTTGCTCTCTGGACCCCGGTCGCCAGTTCGAATCCAGCTGATGGAGACGGAGGGGGTATTTCTCGGTTGGGAGGGTGTTGCTCTCTGGACCCCTGTCGTCGGGCCTCTAAAGGCTGCTCCCGGGTCTAAAAGGATGTAGGTTGGGCCGAAGGCTCGGGTGAACCTTCTGGTTAACAAAAAAAAATACCCAAAGAAAATCTCATATATATATATAGCACATATATCCAATTTACATCCGGATCGAACAGAAAATATAGAAAAATATATTGAATTCATATTCTCAAGTAGTAAAAATATTATTGTTTTTTTAATTTGATTTAGTTATATATGTGAATATAATATCCAATAATCTTGTTATGCAGATCTTAAATGTTACGGCAAAATATATTTATCGTGAAACAAAACAAGTCAACAACACGCTAACGAGACATTTGTATTTTCCATTTAAGATTCCTGTATTTTTCAATGAAACCCCCCGTATAAGAAATAAATAAAAATACTATATTAGTCAAGATTTAACGAATGATGTGAAATTAAAATATGAAATTGAGATTAAAATAATTCCGGGGTTAGGGGGATATGTTATCGGCAGTGTTATTCAACGCGGAACACGCTTTCAATCCAATGTTTCTGTGTCCTAATTCGGACACTCTCTAACGATCCAAATCATTATATATATATATTACAAACAAAAAATAGAAAAGCTTCCTACTTTGGTTTTTCGGCACGTGCGAGATTTATTAGTTGTGTGCTTTTTTCAGAGAGTTGTCGATTCTTGTCCATCAAGATTTTGGATTTTTTTTTATTATAAACAATATCATATATATATATATATATATATATATATATATATATATATATATATATATATATATATGATATTGTTTATAATAAAAAAAAATCCAAAATCTTGATGGATTTCTTGAAAAATGGCTAATTCAGCCGAATGTGAATTGAAGAAGATTGTAATCGTAACAATGAAATTTAATAACAATGATAATATTGGGTTTTAGATGCTGTTTCACGTTGCTTTAGAAAAATTTAATTTCAAATCCTGACTCAAAAAAAACCAATTTTCATTAATAGAAAAAGAAATTATATGCATATATAAGTTATCGATTATCAATAGGTTTGAATGCAATAATTAGAAACGAACCCTCGTATTATATATCCATATTCTAAAATAAATATATACATACATACATATGTATACATACGTATTTATATTATATAATATATATACCAATTATAATATTGGTTTTTAAATGCTATTTCACCTTGCTTTAGAAAATATAATTTTAAAATCCCGTCAAAAACACCAATTTTGTTTTGGTAAAAAAAAACACCAACTTTCATGAATAGAAAACGAAATTATATACATATATAAGTTATCGATTATTAATAGATTTCAATGCAATAAAAAAATGGTCACTCGTATTATATGTCCATTTTCTTAAATAAAATTGGTGTTTACCTCAAATATCAAATCCTTCTATATGATTTTTTTTGGATAACCGAATATTTTTTTATCAAGGTCCAAAATAATCATGGAAACGAAAATGTAATTTGAATTATACGTTTCTTTCCCAAATTTGAGATTCGAATTCGAAATGGAATATATACTTTGCAACCCATTTCAGCAATAGAATTAACCAAATTTGTATATATATATATATGATATCTTGTGAGTATATTATACTTATTAAGGGTGGCGTTTCGGTTCGGTTTTTCGGAATCAAACTGAACCGAACCGAAAAATATATTTTTTCGATTCGAACCGTTTTAAATTTCCGAAAGGTATAATTTTTTAGAAAATCGAATTTTCTGGAACCGAACCGAATTTTAAAAAAATCCCGAAAAACCGATTTTTTAAAGAAAAACTATATTTTTTTAAATAAAAACCGGAATCAAACCCAAATTGGAACAGAACCAAATCGAACATAATATAAAAATCGATTGGTATCTATTTTGTAAAAACGAAAAAACTGAACCGATACATTCTCGTCCCGAACCAGAACCGGTTCTTGAAACGTACCTAACCTTATGGTTATGCGTATAAACGCCACGTGCTTGTATATATGCCGGAGAAGACATGGTCAAGGGCTCACGGTCCAGTGTCTGTGTCCACACATATACACATATATATATATATATAT